TAGGACGTGATGATTGATAATGCTTTTTAGTTTAGAATATAGTGATTTGCTTCATTTTGTAAGTTCATTTTATTTGTTGCACCTACCACCTCTTCCCTGGTGTATTGATTCTGCCTCATGCCTTAAACAATGCTGCTTTAAGTAAATCATCCTACTCTATGTTGCTCGGACTTGGGTGTTGGTATCATATATAGGTGTGTACCCGAAGCACGTAAGGTTAGACTTTTCTACGGTTTTCCATATATTTGGAGGATCCTTGGAGGTCATATCACTATATCCATGTATCGAACACGAGTGCCAGACACAAGTACTTCAAGAGAGAGGAAGAGTTTGTGCAACATAGATCCTATGTAATAACATGTATAATTATACATTACAAGAGACAAAAATATTACCAGATCACTACGTTCAAGAACCCGCCAAAGTTGCCTCCAGATATCCAAGTTTTTCTCAAATGGTGTGAGAACAAGCTTCTCATTCTCCTCAAGTCTGCAATAAATATAAAGGCACGAGAACACAATTACTCCACGTCTCTATATGCTTGTTTCTCACATATTTTTCATCGACACCTTTTAAATGGAGAAGAAGATTATGCTCATATTACTCAACGCCTAACCTTGCTAAGCTCCGTCGCCAAACTAAGAAAGCTTGTTTCTCGTTCGCATCTAACTCTTCAACAGACATTGCTGCATTCCATGGTGGCCTATATGAACAGAAAATCTCTTTAGATTTTAATCACACAAACAAAATTTTGTTTTTATGTTTCGATAAAAACCAAGTCACGCCTGCCTGGAACTCGGAGACTGCTCGAATGCAGTGCCTCCTCTTTCTTCTGCTGTTCTCTTCTTTCTTCAGGTGACATATCAATGATGCCTGAGCTGGTCTCCCTGGTAAATAAAAAATACGATGCCAGATAAACCACGGCGCAGAAGTATGAAAAGCAATATGCTTGAATGTAGTAAAGCTTAAGGCAAAAGGACCAGGAGTCCGTCATTATAAACAAAATGCTCTAAACGTAAAAGTAGTGAAACTAAACATACAAGGCGAAAACTAAGATTAACACGTCCAAATTAAGCATGATTTAGATACTTAACTGCAACAATCTCCTTGTTTCAATACATTAAATTCAACCCTTCATTCGATTATTTATTTTCAAGAATAAAGAAAGGTGGGATGGGGGAACTAATAGGACTAAATAAAACCCTCAGGCCTCAAAATACAATGCAACATATAAGTACTAATTCCAATGGACATTGTTCTAGTGATATTAGTGCAAAAGTCCAATCTATGTCTCTGAAAATCCTTGCAATAGGGATAGGATTGTAAATAAGATGAGACAGATCGCTAGTTACTCAAGTTTGACTCGGTTAAAGCTTGATCAACACTCAATTCGAATGGACTCAACTCAAGCTCGAACTCGACTCAAATTCTTAACAAGCCGAAGCGAGCTACTTGATGAAAGAATCGAAAAGCTTTCAAGCAACTCAAAAATATAATATATTATTTTTGAATTTTTTAAATTACATTATTAATTACATTAACATCTATATGTTGCTTTTTTAATATATAAAATGAAGTCTAAGGTTTTTATATACTTAAAATTCAGTTTTAGAGCTCGAGTTCGAGTTTCAATCAAGTTAGGTCTGAAAATGTTTCGAACTTTAACCGAGCTTAAATTTTTTATTTTGAACTCGAGTCCAATTTGAAAATTATAAGATAGTGAGATTTGAGTCGAATCGAATCGAATTTATCTTTGAACTTTTACATAGAATTCAGAGTTGAACTTTTATAGTCAACTCAGCAATTATCGAGCTGACAGCTCGTTTACATCTCTAAAAGAGGCATAACATTCAACCATAAATCTCACTCAAAATATTATTACAATCAAAATCCGAACCTCAAAACCATAACCAACAAAAACAAATCATAGAAATGAGAAAAGGGTAAAATCAAAACAAAACCAAACCCAAAAACACATCCAACAAATTACTACAAAAGAAAAAATCTTTACCTATAAAACCCAAACTTTCACTAACTAAAACAAATCAAAGTTAATTTGTTTTACAACTACAAATTAAACCAATATTTAAAAAAGAAAAACAAAGACTTGGGCAAAAGCATACAAATTGATGAGGAGGTTAGGGGTGGGATGCTGAACAGAGAGGAGTTGGTCAGCTTCATCGGCCTACTGGATGACAGCATCAATGTTGCTAACTTCGGTAACAGATTCCAATACCTTCTTGTTCTGGCTCTTGTACAACCTCCCCTTCTCTTTGGTTTGTTGTATCATTGAATTGTGGTGCTTCACCAGGGCTCTCCCTACCCCTGACTTCTCACTCCTCCCCATCTTTCTTTACTTTTGAATCCCCATAAAAAACAAAAACAAAAACGTACCCTACTGGTTTTGGTCGGAGTTGAGAAAGTTGAACAAGTCGTAAGCGGAGGCTTTACGTTTGGTTTGCAAGAATCCCTTGGAATTAGAGAGAATTAGAATTTAATTTCATCACTTTCCCATATTTGGTTCAAGTTTTTAAAAGGAATTGGAATCTCTCATGACTTCAACTTTTCATCAAATTTAGGTTCGGATTGGGTCAGGTTTTTTTTTAAGTGTGATATTCGGGTCGAGTCGGGTTCGGGTTTAGGATGAAAAATACTCAACCCGACCCGAAAAATATATATAATTTTATCTTATATATTTAGAAATAACTACAATAATACCCCTCTATATATAATTTTTTTCAATTAAGTCATTGTTTTTATTGAATAAAAATAATTTTTTTATTATTTCGTTTCGGGTCGGGTTTCTAATTCATATATTCGGATCGGGTCGGGTGAAACTTTATTTTGGTCGGGTCGGGTCGGTTTTTTTAAGTGTGGTATTCGGGTCGGGTCGGGTTTAGGGTGAAAAATACCCGACCCGACCCAACAAATATATAATTTTACCTTATATATTTAGGAATAATTATAATAATACCTCTCTATATAAAATTTTTTTCAATTAAGTCATTTTTTTATTGAATAAAAATATTTTTTTATTATTTCGGGTTGAGTCAGGTTGGGTTTCTAATTCATATATTCGGGTCGGGTTGGGTGAAACTTTATTTTGGCCGGGTTGGTTTTTTTAAGTGTGATATTAGGGTCGGGTCGAATTCGGGTTTAGGGTGAAAAATACCCGACTAGACCCGACTCGAAAAAATATATAATTTTACCTTATATATTTAGGAATAATTACAATAATACCCCTCTATATATAATTTTTTCACTGTTTTTATTATTTCGGGTCGGGTGAAACTTTATTTTGGTCGGGTCGGGTCTCGGATGGAGGTTCCCTTGTTCTCGGGTCGGGTCGGGTGGACCAAAAACCAGACCCATGGCCATCCCTAATTAGGATGATTTTAACTTATGATGTTTATTAGCATGATTTTTATAATTTATTGAAAATGAATAATCAATCAATAAAATTAAAATTTAATATTTTTAAAATTTTTATAATATATTACTACAGTAATTTATAAAACAAACTAAATTAAGCAAAAAAAAGAAGAAGAAGGGTAATCCTGTCATTTTACATTACTGAAATCAAATTCATCTGACATGTTTGCGAACCACACAGAATATGTAATTGGATTCCAATTCCTGACAGATTCCAATTCATTCACAGATTTTAATTCCCTCAGAAATATTCCAACGAACCAAACGCCACCTTAAAGACGACCAAGACTGGACCAGCACCATAAAAGGTTTGAGATTATTAGCCCGGTGACCAGTCCAACCCAACTTTAAAATCCAGTTCGGATGGGCTCAATTAATAAACATTTTTATTTGAATAATCTAATCAATTATAAAGTAGTAGTATTTTTTTCAAAAATTGATAACACGTATCTTACAAACACATTTATTCGATAGTTTAATTTTTTTTAACGGAAACAACATCGGACAAATCACAAAAATGGATATTTAACGTGATCTTTTTCACCCTTAATCACTCTTAAATTTATGGCACGTGTGTTAATTTCCTAACTTAGCTTAGATGATTATATCTTCTAATTGTTACTCCTTTTAACATTCTCGCAACTCTAGGAACAACTATACTGTTACCATTGTTTATTTATGAGAAGAGTCAAGTGTAGATAGTCTCGAAAATGCCAAAGGAACGGAGCCGTTATCTTTTTTTTTTTAGTGTTCAATTTTACAGTGGCTGCCATTATCATTAATTCACCAGTGAAGCAGAACTGCTACTTATGGCTGGTTTAATATAACGACTTTCAGGAAATCCAGCATTGAGACAAGGCAAACCAGGATCAGGAGTTGGACTTGGATACGGTCTTCGCTTCAAGTCTCCACTTGGTCATTTTCAGGTTTATTATGCCATCAATACCTTTCAACAGAAGACTGTATACTTTGGCATCACAAATCTTGCTTCTTGAATTGCTTAAAACCATACAAACTGCCAGATTATTGCTCCTCTTTTCTCATTGTCGTGAGAAAAGATGATTTCAAGGAGAAAAAGAGAAGCATGTGAAAGGGTTGGTTTACAGACCGAGGATGGTGCTGGGGTGTCTGATGCCGTCGACTCTAGCATATTGATCATCTTCGACCACCGACACATCTTGCCATTTCATGGAGAAACAAAAATTAAAGCCTAATCCTTTAACTTTTTGCAAGTATTGTACTTGCAGGAGGAGAAACAACAATTAAGCGTCATTGACTGTTAAAGGCTTATAGGTAGGAACAAAGGAATTAAAGGGTATAGCGATAGAAATTCTTTGCCTGGTCAATTTATGTTATAAAGAGCTCGCTTTCTTGTTAATATTTCCCATCATATATCCTTAGCTTAAAATCATTTATATATGCTTTATTGTTTAAATTTGAAATTCATGTTCATCTTTGTCAAAAATCAAATCCGAGTTTTACAATATAACAAGACGCAGACGATGCCATGCAGTTCTTGTAAAAACTGTAAAATTTTTCAAACCAGACATAAAACTTGGTTTTAGTTAATTCACACAAATAACAAGTGGTTTTTGTTACATTTAATCACAGCTCATTATCAACACTTGAAATCTACCGACCTTATTGGCTTATTCCCATGACAAACCAAGCCAACCGAATCTCAACTCTGCCATGACGATGGAGCAGCCGATCCCCACGGAGCCACTCAATTTTATGTCAGAAAAATAAAGCCATTGCATCTCGAGCTGTAATTCGATATGCATATACATACTAAAACAAGACCTGGGTGGATGACAAGCCTATAGGTTCTTCAAGATACTTCCTTAAATATCAAAAGTTTGTGCCATATTTTTTGCAGGATTCGAGTCCCCTTGTCTGTCGGACTTGGACCTGTCCTTTATCGGCTTGTGAGAGCCTGGAGTTGCTTTTGCAGCAGTTCTGCCAGGCCTGCTGGTTTCAGTTCCGCTACCTCCCCCTGCTCAGATCAAACCGTTGAAACAAGAAATTAGCAGAATGCACAATCATTGTGTATTATACAACCTGGAAAAACCTAAAATTAACAGTAAACATAGAACTGCGAACAACAATGATAGTCATTGGGCTTCATGGAATAGTGTTTCAGAGCAACATTCTTGCATCATGCTTTCTTTTGACAACCAGCATAAACCAGAAAATTTAATGTTAAAAATCAGGCAGCAGAGGGTTGAAAATCACTATGCATTCACCATAGGTGACAAACTAGCATGACCAGTTACCACTCCACTTTATTCTCCAGAAGATGGTTACATCAAGGAGAAAATACCTATATCTTTTGGAACTTACCACTGTTAGGTAGAGACAATTTCTTCTTTGGCTGTTTATCTGACTTTACGGTCCTCTCTTTAGGATTGCTGCAAGATCTTGAAGTAATAGTAGGTCTTGTGCCAGCGTCTTCAACCAAATCTTCAAGGGCTGGTTTGGATTTTGGCTTGGAAGATAATGCATTGACGGTTTTTAGCACATTTGCTGACTTTCCAGGTGAAGAATCACTCCCTCCAGAATATGATGGACCTATCTTTAGATTAACATGAAGATTTGATGAAGTTGGCTTCTTGATAGCAGGTTTTATATGAGAATTGGCACCATCATTTCCCTCTGAAGAACCATCCTTGCATGTCATTACTCCATCTCGAAGATTAGTGTCGAGAAAACGATTCTCCCATGGACGTACGGCCATCCACCTTTCCAGCCAGTTCCAACCCCAGCAGCTTTTATCAGGTTCAAACCCAGCAGGCATAGACTGCAGTCTTGATCCTGCTTGCCACTGCACAAACAGGTCTCAACTCTTAACACTAGCTAAAATGAGATAAGACATTGACATGATTATAAGAATCAGCTGATTAGTAAGAGTAAAGCAATTTTATACATGATTTTGTCATCCAACATCAACTCTCCGAGGAGGTTGATGCTAATAACAAAGGCTTGAGATATGAGATATTGACCGGGTAACAATATTAACCAAGAGCAAAACTGAAGTTTTGAACAGCAGATGTTCAACCCTCAAGAACATCAACAAAACAGAACATAAAAATGATGCAAATGTGATTATCAAGAAGAATCAAACAATAATGTTGATTATATGATTTTACTTCAAAATATGGATTCTTTTTAATTGCCGTTCTATTTTTCTAATCATTTGTGCATATTGGATTAATTTATTATATGATTTTATTTTATAGCAAGTTATTAAGTTTCCATCAGTAAACAACAAAACAGAAGTTGCAAAAGTAGCAAAAAGAATAAGACAGCCCAAATATCCACAACCTTCCTCTTTCTCTCTCTTTCTATATCTTCTCCTTTGGTAAAAGAACAGTATCTACACTGAGTTCTCTCTTTATCCTTCCAATGAATGACACCTATTCTTAGGGATGAGTTCTTGAATAAACACACAAAATTGAAGAGAATCACATGCAATGATTGAATAAAAAACCATAGATATATCAAATATAGTGGTAATAGGAGACAACAAAGTTTTAGTGCAGAAATATACTAATCAAATTTTTAAAAAGTGGAGGTCAAATAAAAAAATTAGGAAAGATAGCCAAAAGAATTTTATTAGATGGTTTCAAGACTTATCAAAATTCATGCAATCTGAGCACTGCTTTGTGGGGTAAGCCATTCATTCTTAAAATAAGAAAAGTGTCCTTACACGGAAAAATTTGCCGCTTAATAACAGTATTGTTATCATATCTTTACCTGATGAGCCAGAGCATATGCCATGGCTCTCTCACGTTTAGCTGCAGCCTCCTGCCTCTTTAGTAACTTGGCTTGAATTTCTTCAACAGATCCTATACTATGACACCACCCTTCCTGCATTTAATCATAAGTCATATGAAGCATTCAGCAAACTACCAACATCTATGCCTCAAATATATGAAAAGGATCGATAACCTCATTCTAAAGTCTCAACTAGGTATGAAATAACATTGAAAATTTATCATCATTCTTGTGCCTATTTACAAGCTGCAAATTGTTGTCTGTAGTTAAGCTGCATTCTAAAGGAGATTTGACTCGCACAAATGATGTAAATGTAATACATCGGCCTGACACAATAGAAGAATATGATACTACATCGAGATCCTAAAATTTAATTCTTGAGAAAATGAATGAATACAGACACACGTACACAAACACAGAACAAGCAAGCCAGCATGCATTAATTCAACTCTATTTCATGTGTGCCTGTGAATAAATAGTTTTGATGTTTGAGATGAATTAATGAACTAACATTTAATGTTCCTCACCTCTACTTCTTTAACGCGAGCCTCATTTGCAAGTTGTTGCTGAAGTTTCTGTTGGGCAGTTTCACTTTCCAATGCCAGTCGAACATGCCTTGCTCTTACACGAGCCTGAACTCTTACCAAAGCTTGCATGCAGCGAAGAGTCATTGCAGCTTGTTTTCTTACAGCATGACCCCTAACAAGGGCCTGCAACCTTACTAATCCTTTTAAGGCTCGCAAAGCTCTTCTAGCCTGACATTTAAGTAGAATAAATGTCAATTCATCAGTCAGAAGAATTATGAAGTTAAATTACTTATTCAATTACAGTTCAGGTGAAAGGTAAATCATTACAAGCTGGGCCTTTCTTGTTATGAATAAACTCATATTCTACGCAGTTAGGAATAAACGCAATATATTTTATTTAAAAATAGCCTTCAAAACGTATAGAGTTATGATTTGATCAAAATGAAGAAATATGAAACGAACAAAGTTAGGCCATGCATCAGTGATTAGAATACTATACCACCTTATACATATAAGCATAAAAAACCACATCCACATACACACGTACAGGTAGCATAATACATATGTAAAAATGAGTTCTTGCTAAAATTCAATCACTATAGATCCAGAAAAATGCCATCCAACTCATTCTTTTAATCTCTAATTTCAGTTTTTGAAAGTCCCAAGTTATCCATTATCCAAACCAAAAGATACTTTCAACATTTTAAGGACATCCACATAAAGCGTAACTTAGAAATGGCACTGCCATTTTAAAAATAAAGGTTCAATCAAAATTACAACTATTGTCTTGAACTTTATGAAAGACAAAACCATCCCAAACAATTTGGGACATAAAGAGTATTTCAAATTCTCATTTGACATGGCAAAGAGATGAAAAAGTGGAATCAATACCAGAAACCGACGAAAGGCTGTTTGTATCCTTGTGGCAGCCCATTCTTCCCTAGCAAGTTCATTAACAGATGCATCACACACTTGAAGAGAACCAGAGGGGGAGCCAGCAGCATCTGCAGTTGCATGAGCGTTAGCATCTCTGGCTATTGGCACAGCATTCTGATCCAACTCTTCATGAAGTTTATCTGTGTCAAACTCGACAGAATGCTCGACATAATGCTTTCTTCGGTGACGGAATTTGCTAGTGGCTGCCCTCTGTAACAACCAAAGACCAAAACTATTAGCTAAAAACATGCTTAAAATTGTGTTATATTTCAGATCAATCTCATTTAAGTGCTAACTTCTTTATGTGCTAAAGTACACAAACACACTAAAGGCATAAAGAATATTCTAAAACGCACAAACTTGATGACTTCACCACCACAGATAAATCAGAATTACTACTTTCATGAGACCAAAATCACAAATAGCAACATTTACTATGAAATGGCACGGGTAATGTTTCTCAATTGTTGCTAAGCATTGACAACGGATCTTAATTGATATTGAAATTATACAATCAAAGAGAAACGAGCCCACACTTATGTCCCTGTTAATGAAACTATGAGACTTTATAGTAAGGTTTTAAGGAAGAAGTCCAGCTATAAGCCAGGTATCAAATCATGTTTTCTTTCTACAAGCCGAAATAAGACCAGATAAATGGAAATAAGCATAATCAAGTGTGCAATCATTCTGATAATTACATAGCCTCGTACACAAGGATGGATGAAGCGAACAAAAATCACAATTATTTTAGCTAACAAGGATAATTGTTGCATGTAAGTTACCACAAAAACCCTTTCTCCATTATACCAGATTAGTCAACAGTGCCCAAGTCCAGGAAAAAGGAATTAATCCACAGAATGAATTCTTACTTAATGTGCACAGGATATGTAGATATTTGGAAAATATATCATCTCTTCATCATTTTGAAGAGGTGCACATGAGATTACACATGAACATACCCAAATCTAAAAACACAGGAACATACCCAAATTTAAATTTTCAAAAGGGTATAATGTTTAAAAAGGGGGGGAAAAAAGAACATTCATTCTGACATTTTCTCCCTTCTCTGAAGATTGTGACTTTTCTGTTTTTTTCAAGCCAACCAATGCTTTGATCCATTTTCCTGAGACACCCATGGTATCAACTATGACAACTCAACTAGATAAGGCAGACCTGCAAGAAAAAATGCTTGAAAAATAAATCCTATAGTTGCAATAAATGAAATGATACTTCACAAACTCGAGGAAAATAAACCATAAAGAATGCTAAGCAACAAGAAAAACAGTTCTCCTGATAGTAGTTCCTATCTATCTGATTCAATGTGTAAGCAACTAGCTGATATGATATATATCCAAGAATCAATGTAACGAGTGTTGAGATATTACAGAAAATAATACCATTTCACAATATGATCAATATGATCTATGAGAGATAGACTGGTCAAATTGGTATTTCTTTCAAGGAAACTCCCTTAATACCACAAAAGAAAGGATATCACTGAACAAAATTAGACCATAACCAGAAGTAGAAGAAAGGGGCAGTCCTTTCATGAGCTATTAAAAGTGAAATTTCGACCACATTGGAAGGACCAGACACGTCAATAAACAACAAATCATGGAATAAAAAAATCGCCAAAGCATCAAAGACAACATGGCTAACCCAGTGTTCTCGGGGTGCTAGGTACAGTTGAATTTTCAATATTTGGCCGATTTTTCTGCTGCCCATACACAAGACAAGCCTAGTTCACTGTTAACAGTCAACTTGAACCCTAATTTCGATAACCCTACAAATTAGAAGCATCAAACAAGTAGAATATAGGTAAAATTGGTCACAGGAGAGTAATTATAAAATGAAGAACTGAAATTAAAAAAAGGGAGATACTGCCATTTTCAATTCACTAAAAATATCAAAAAACATTGTCAACCAACCTTCGAAGTTTCAATCTTGGGTTCAAAATTCAAAGAGGCAGTGTCACTTTGTTAATGCCAAGTGAAGCAACCACATATTCTCCATCAACCTTATCACACTCCCTTGCAGATCATCATCTAGTCATCAACAAGATAGCAATAAAAAAACACAGAATTAATACTTTCCATATAAAAATTAAATAAAAAAGGGAAAACTCAGAATTTATTTCCATTGTTGTTCATTTATGGATAACCTTTTGAAGTCCTTCCATTAATAAACTGCTCCGGATTAAAGTCTAATTATTGTAAATTAAAATAATTACTACCCAATTAAGACTGATTAAGTAACTGATCTCGCAAATTTTCACCCTTCGAGCTAGAAACTCAAAAGCTAGTAAACTTTTTCAGCATTATTCCACACAAAAAAGGTTGAAAAGGAAGGAACAGTACCTTTTTAAGGCGTTGGATTGATGATGATCTACCACTCAATCAATCAGTCAGTCAACGGAGTCAAGCTCCCTATTTTCTCCTTTTCTCTACCAAAAAAGAAATTCAATATCAACGAAGGGATCAGCACATAGAAGAAATGGGATTTTCTCAGATTCTTTCTGTTCTTGTCGATTGAATTTGTGAGGACTATAATCGGCTAAAACACGCCGAGGAGTGAGTGAGGAAGTGTGTTTGGGGTAAAAGGTAAAAGCAGTTAACTCTTAGAGGAACGGCGTCGTTTTCCATTTTTAATTTTTGGTATAGTCGTTGTCAAGCGTAGCAAAGAACCTCGGTCACTAGATGTTCTGGTGTGAGGCGATTAAAATGTGGTTAAAAGATTATGCGATTGGTTAAATGAGTGACCGATTGAAAGTACTATCGTAAATATTATATATTTTCACTTGAAGTATTAGTTGGGTTGATAACAATAATGGTAATAATCGATAATATCATTGTTGTATGTAAAATGTGCTAAATTGTTTTTGACTTTAATATAACCGGTTAATTTCATGAAATATTCAACCATAATAACATAACATGTAGCGTTTATTTAACGTAATAAGTAGCACATTTTTAAAGTTGATGTGACCTTAAAAATCCGATGATAATAAAATAGATTAATTACTTAATTTATTATCAATATTATCGACATATTAGGTAGCGTCTAAAATGTTACGAAAGTTTAAACTAATGGAGCCTTAAAAATATGACGATAATAAACTAGGTTAATTACTGGAAACATTATCAACCATACTAACATAACAAGTAGTTTTTATTTAATGTAATAGGTAGCGTCTTTTTAAAATTGACGGGGCCTTAAAATTTCGACTATAACAAAATAGTTTAATTACTTAATTTGTTTCAATTTTATCAACATATTACCGTGTATATTGTTAATTTACATATTATTTTAAAGTAATATGTTTCGAAATTATAAAATATCGATACTTATATGACAATATTCATACTTGTACATTTACACCTATTTTTATTATATCGGTAGAAACGTTTATAGTATACATTGTTAATTTACATATTACTTTAAAGTAATATGTTTCAAAATTATAAGTATCGATAATTTATATATGAGTATCAATACTTGGACATTTGTGCCTATTTTCATTATACCGGTAGAAACGTTTACCGTGTACATTATTAATTTACTTATTACTTTAAATTAATAGGTTTCGAAAATATAAGTATCAATACTTTGTATATGGGTATCGATACTTGGACATTTACGCCTATTTTCATTATACCGGTAGAAACGTTTACTGTGTACATTGTTAATTTACTTATTTCTTTAAAGTAATAAGTTTTGAAATTATAAGTATCGATACTTTATATATGTGTATGGATACATTTTGCGTGCAAATTGTTTGAGAATCATACTGGAATAAATGTATCAATACCTATATAAAAGTATTGATACTTGATATTTATGTATATTATCAATATACCGATAGACTTTTACCGTTTATATTGTTAATTAACCTATAACTTTAAATTGATAGGTTTCAAAATTCTAAGTATCGATACTTTATATATGTGTATCGACACATTTTGTGTGCAAATTATTTGAGAAGCATACTGGAGTAAAATTATTCATACATATATAAAAGTATCTATATTTGGTATTTATGCAAGCAAATAATCAGTCTCATTCAGGTATGTTTTGGTTTCGGTTTACGGTTATCCTATCTTCATGAACTAGATGAAATAGATTCAATCCAGTATATAGATAATAGGCACAAATACCAAGTATCAATCCTTTTATATAGGTATGGATACTTTTATTCCAATATGTTTCTCAAAACAATTTGCATGCAAAATGTATCGATACGCATATATAAAGTATCGATATTTATAATTTCAAAACCTATTACTTTAAAGTAATAGGTAAATTAACAATGTACACGTGAATGAAAGAAAAGTCGAGAAAGTCACATCTTATAATGGATTCTTTACAGTGCCTCATCAGAATGAAATCTTTACTGTGTAAGTCACATGTTGTATTGTGAATAGGAATATTAAAATGTTTGATATACAATTATTGTTTGATATGTTTGAGTACATTAAAATTGAAAATAATGCATTATGTGAATGAATAAAAAATAGACACACAATATAACTAAACCAAACATACATAACAATGTTATACATAACAATCATGTCATCAATACATAAATTAAGCATGTTCTAATTGTCCACCCACAAAAAAATTAAACCGAAGAAAAAGGGTTATTTTTGACGAAATCCGGAACATTAGGACAACTTGGGTATTCTTGACGCTTTTGTGGAGATCTTTACGTCTAAGGTTGAACTTGGATTTTAAACTTTCTGTAAGGTTGGTCTCACGAGCTCTCAACTGACGGCACGAAAAAGCCCTTATAGTCTCATATCTAACGGAACCACATGTAAAGGTACTCCCTTAGGGAAAATACAAGGGTGGAAGATTTTGCGACTACACATTTCTTAGAGTTGACCTTCAACTCAATAAGGAACAACCACTCATTCTCATAAGGTCATCACACACCTATGAACTTACAACTCCAAAACCCAAGTAACACTTATGCAACTACTTCCTTATGGTTGACTACTGAGCCTAACCCAAGCCCTCAAAGAATATCTTAGGAAACATTGTCTATTCCACTAAGGCACACTGGCCAGACACTTGATACTCTCACCCCATATCCTTTAGACGACTACTTTCTTAGCTAGTCAACTTAACACCATAAAAAATGCATACACTTATGTCTACTGGAGCAACATGAAAATTTGAGATAGTTGAAAACATACATGACATCTCATTTATGATATCAACATCCTGACCCTGCCTCTCTGCAATATGACAAGCGGGATCACACACCGTTAAACCAAGAATAGGTCGATCCGCTCCTCTACTCTCCTGCTCGAGCATTGAACTAACACATCTTTAGGTAGGTTCTCTGCCATGCTGAGCTATTGGGATCGCTTCCCTTGGTCGAGTTGAAATATCATCATCCAAACTGGGTCAATCCCTTACCATATGTAATAAGGATCCACATCTATATCACTTCTTAAAAAGTTTATAGTATAATCCTTTATGATTTTTTCTATAATGCTTGCACTCTAGATACTTCAAAACTCTAACATAGCCTCTAAAGCTTGCCACAGACAGTGAAGCTGACAGTCTCTTACAAGACCCTACGTTTGACCATTGACTCAACTGTAGTGACAAAGCTAACATCACTTTTTTATACTCACGTGGACCTCTCTGCCACCAAATGGGATAAATCTACTGGTGTACAAGTCCTCATACTTGGGCTACATGTTTCTCCCTATAAATTCTTCTTCACACTTTGTACCCTCTCCACGACCTTAGTCTTTCGTGTCAACTCTGAAAAGACTCTGGGCAATTTTTCCACTAATTGCGCATGGATATTAATATGAAGTCCATCGAGGAACCTCTTACACCTAAAGGACTAAATCGTAACCAACTCTGGAGTATAACGACTCAACCGAAGGAAATATTTTTAACACTCGTACATTTAACGATCTTCCTGAACTAGCTAGGAGAACTGCATCCTCAATCTGTCCATGTGTGCTTCACCGATATACTTGCTTTTAAACTCACTTAGGAACTGATCTCACGTAGGTACCTCTAGTTGTAGATCTATCTCTATAGTATCCTACCACAGTCAATAGCATCACCCTTAAGCAAATCGGTGACATAACTTACCCTCTAGGGTAAGATAAAGTTGCCTCAAAGTCCTCATAGTCTCCCTCAACTACTGATTAGCCAAAATCGAATCCTCATCACTTAAACCGAAGAAGTCGATTGTCTTACACCCTCCTCAGTCTCTCTACCGGGGACGCTATCTGTGCTAACACATTCTGGGTGGTTGGTTGAGCAGTTTGCGCTCTAGAAATGGCATCCACTATCTCCATAAGTGTATAAGTCAAACATATAAAAAGGGTCGCCTCTGTGACTCTTGTGTCTACAAAACCCGCTGATCCTCTACCCTAGGCAAGAATTCCTCACTGATACTGTCAGGATGAAAGGCTCGACTCTCAATCCTATCCTAGAGACCATGCTCAAAACTATCGGCCATTGTAACGCTCTACAATATAGATTAAGAAAGTGCATCATTAAGATTCCAAACTTATACAAGTACTTTAAGTACCTAGGGGCATATATTCATTGGCACTTTACTAAAACTGACCACTGATTCCTAATAACCTACCACACCCGAGCTAGATGCTCGATCTCAATCGATATTAAACTCCTCACTCTCGAGTCTATTTGACATCTTGAAGTCAATCAACCACTTTGGGTATTGATATCAATCCTTCAGTATGGATACTCAATCTTGGATATGGATACCAGTTCATCCAGTACGAATACCAACTCATCCTGTATGGATACCAGTCCTCCGATATGGATACCAGTTTATCTTGTATCGATATTGAGCACCCGATATCGATACTACAACCCCAATATTGATAGCAAGGGATCAATATTTGATACTCATTTCCTCAGTATTGATAGTCCTTACTAAAATTACCCAAAATTCATCCTAATTCATCCAGTATCGATACTCGAACCCAAAAATGTATTATTTAAGATCGAGAAACACCCAAAAATCATTCCAAAGGTCTTAGTTTGGATCCTAATCATGTGCTAAAGCTTTAAGAAATTACTTAGGTTCTTAAAGCATCATAAAAACATATTCTTTATATCTAAAACATCATTTAATCATGAAATCAAGTTTAAACCCTAAAATGCTCAAATACCCAAATCTAAAAAAATCATCATGCTTATGAAAGCCTTAGAACTCCAAAGGATTAGAAATACGTTACCTTGATGTTTAGATCCCGAAATGAAGCTCATTGCTTAGACATACTCCTTTTCTTTACGATTTAGATGATCCACTTTTTCTTTAGTTAAAAATAACCCAAGAATTGAATCATCGAACCAAAGTTGCTGGAGGGATTTAGGATGCAAATGAAGTATGCAAGAGGCTCAAGAATTTACCTTTGAGCTATGCTACATGGGTGGAAGAGTGGAGAAGAAAAGGTTGAGAAAGGAAAAAGAATAAATGAAAGGAAAAATATGGAATGGGATATATAAAAAGCCCTCATCATTTAAAATGGGGTAATTATGGTTTTGATCCCTTCTCATATTTCTACCATTCA